TGACTTTTAAAAAAAAAAATTCCCCTTCTTTTTTTTTTCTTTTTTTTTTTGGAAGGAATTTTTCACCTTTTGCTGGAACCTTAGGCTAGGTTTTCTGTTTGTTTCAGTGAGATTTTAGGATTGCGTGGTTTTTGCACTTTGGATTTCGTGGTTTCATGGGGGGTAGAATAGCATGGGTAGGGGAGATTTCATGTTGCCCCTTGCCCCTAATGGTTAGGGTATAGGGTTGGGGCCGCCAGTGGGGGTCTGGCTAACACAAAGACCGAGGCCTGCCAGTAGCTGTGCCTCCCTTTCTCATCGTCCCCCACCCTTCATCGAGTAGCAGAGGAAACTATGCTTGCAGGGGTCCCCTCTAGATAGTCTTAGGAGTAGGTAGTGGAAGGTAAAGGAACAGAAGTTGAGAGAAGAGTATGGAAAAAAAAAAAAGAATAGCATGTGTATAATGTAACTGGGGTTACTCTATTTCTGTTTTTTTGGTGACTCGTTTCTCGTGGCAGGGGGATGGGTTTGGCCGGAGTGCCTTGTCCAGCCCTGCTTGGCTGCGATGTTCATGTGAGGGACGCCGGGCCCATTTCCCGGCTATTAATATATGATCCCTTTTTCTTGCAAATAAATAAATATATATATTTAGCTTTTTTTCTTTTTCTTTTTGGAAAAAAAAATGAAATGCCCCTGAAGTTTGCGTTTATTTGCAATTTGCCCCTCCGACGGCCGACTTACCCTGATTTGCCCCTCTGACAGTGATTCAAGTTTCCAAAAAAACCCTGGCGCCCTTTGGGCTTGAGACATTTTCAATATGCCCCTACCGGTACCAGTGCCAAATTTCCAGTTTGCCCCTACCAGATAGCCCTTCAGTACAGGCACAAGAATTTTGCATATGCCCCTACCGGTACCCTGCATCTCTTAGGTATGCCCTTCTGGCCGTTGCTGCAGTACCAGCTGTTCCCCTGGCCCTGGGAGGGGTGCTACCGGGGCACTATTTTTTTTTATATTATTATTATTTTTTTGGGTGTGGGTGTGTTGTCATTTTTGCTATACACTCAAAAAAAGCATGACCGTGCCAGACTGTTTCGTCGGACTTTCACCAACTCATCAGGAGGTTGAACCCGAACAGTTGGTGTGTGTGTGTGTGTGTGTGTGACACAGAGAGAGAGAGAGAGAGAGAGAGAGAGAGAGAGAGAGAGAGAGAGAGAGAGAGAACAAGTTTCCAACC